GCCCTTTTCACTTATTCAGCGCTCATCCAATCATCATGCATTGTGCTCAAGATTTGTCCATATTCATTCTTTTGCAAACTCTATCCTATTTCCAGTCAGGGTAATCCTTATTCTCAACTAACTTCCAAATACTGATGCGCTTGTTCTACGTTCAATAATTTTTTGTTTAATACGGTTCTACACTACAAGTTGGTCAGTAGACTTGGGCACTCCAAGCGTAACAGAAGTGCAAGACACAGCGCTTAGCGCAAGGTTGCCATGAATTTACCTCAAAATGATGCAACGAAGAAAAGTTGATCCCCAACGTCTTGCTACACATGATATAGCAGACAGTTTGCCGCGCGCGACGTCGCGATTTGAAACATGTTAAAGAAGAGAGAATGAAAAGGCAGAATTTTTCCTCTTACTAAAAAGGACGACACTCCTATCAAATTTCCATTCATTTTTTTCTACGCATTGCTCAAGCAGATGATTTTGGCAGTGTAACTCGGTAGACTGGCTCGGCTGCATTCTCATAGAAATTTTCAGAACAGAATAATGTACACAGGCAATCACCCGATTTAGCTTCAAATTGTTATGGAAGTACGTCAATCGAAGATGCGTACTATTTGTAGGTAATGTTTATTCCTGAATATGTTAAAGCAACAACGAAATTTGATGGAACCAAGCTGGCCAAAGTTGCGAGGATGAACAACATCAGTAAGCATTGTGCTATCCATTCCTCCCTCCGTCTCTCTCTCCCCCATATGAATGAGTCGCAACTCTTCAGGTCTTGTTACATGAGCTTTTGAACTGTGCAACCTCTTTCATTTGTGGTTAATCGAGATGATTTTTGAAATTTTCAAAAATCTAAGACAGCTTCCAAAAATTTTTCTCTCAAAAGCGAGGCTGTTGATATGCTTACTTTTATTTGGAGTACAGGTAGGAAATTCTGAACAGCACGTCAAAATTTTTTCGGCGTGCCTAACGCCAAGGCTCACTAAAAAGTTATTTTCCCCTTTGCCTCATAGTGTCTCCTAAGTTTTATGGCGTCAACATTTTGGCAATTCAACATTGATTCGTTGTTTTTTTGTTTTTTCCGACCAATGAAAACGGAACACGATCGAGACTTTCTAGTACTTAGGTTCAAAATTCGATGACGTTATGAGCGGCTTCGAGGAGCACCTGATGGAGAAGATTTACGCAGGCTTCAGGGTTAGGCTGTATTTTATGTACACTAACCAGCACATGTGCGAAAGTGAGGGCTTTGCTTCCACATTTCATTATATGTTCAAACCAACAAAAGCATGGCAAAAAATTTTATTTTATCATTGGCATTTAGGGCTGATGGCACGACGACAAGAGCTGGAATATCTCAGAAATTACGGGTTTGATGCCGCATTCACAGAACAGATTGACTTCTGCGGTGTTGGAGTCATAAGGTAAATAAATTCAAATAATTGATTACATG